TTCACTGCTTTCAGCTAAGATCCATCTAACATTAGCTACAATATCCCTAGATGGATCTTAGCTGAGCATTCTGTCAGGTGAAATCCATGTGTATAACCTCCTATTAGATCAAGGGCTGGACAATGGGAGATAGGTATTGAAGGGAGTGGGTAGTAGTGGATGGGGATGCTGGTTGATCTAGAGGAGGGAAATAAGTGAGTCAAGATACTTGTGCCAAGGGCAGGGACAACATTGAAACTAATGCTTAATTCCACAATTAGGGAAATATCTTTCTCTGTGTTTTTTTTTTTAAATGCTTGTCTTTCAGATACTTCTATAAATCTGAACATTCAGATTAAGACAAAGAATTAGGAAGAAGGTTTGGCTATCCACTTCCAAAATAGCAGGCCTCTGAAAACTTTATGTACAGCAGAACAAAAATAGACTAACAAATAGGGTAACTGAGGTGGAGCTTTCAAGTGTGGAAATATAAAGGAAGAGGAACAGTTATAAGCAGACACTAGTGACTTGAACATGGAATGTGAGAACCATTAATGTAGGAAAGCTAGATTTTGTTAAAGAACAAATGGAACACATAAATATTGACATACTAGATATTGGCGAGATAAGATGGACTGGCATGGTGCATTTTGAGTAGGACAATCATATGATATATTATTCTGGAGAGGAAAAGGTGAAGAAAAACGGGGTTGCTTTCATAGTTAAAAAGGTCATTTCTAGATATGTCTTGAAATACAATACTGTGAGTGACAGGATAATATCCATATGCATACAGGTAAGTCCAGTGAATACCACTATCATTCAGATATATGCACAAACAACCAGAGCCAAAGAAGTGGAAATAGAAGATTTCTACCAACTTTTACAATCAGAGATCAATTGAAAATGCAATCAAGATGCATTAATAATAATGAGTGACTGGAATGAAAAAGTTGGAAACGGAAAAGAAGAATCAGTAGTTGAAAACATAGATTCAGTAACAGAAATGAAGCTGGAGATTGATTGTATTTTGCACAATGACTTACTCATTACAAAGTAAAGAATACCAGAAGATGTTTACTTATGTTTTATTGAGTATGCAAAAGCATTTGACTGTGTGAATCATAACAAATTATTTTACCTTGAGAAAAATGGGAATCCCTGAACACTTAACTATGCTCATGGAAAATCTATCTGTAGACTAAGAATGTGGGTGTTTGTGAGTGGTTGGGTATGTATGCATGTGTGAATGTGAGAGAGACAGAATCTATAGTTCTCTAGGTGTTGCAAGCAATTTGTTCTCAGCTGTAAATAAATAACTTATTAGATTGAATCCATCAATAGTACAGGAAAATAAAGGATTGGCAATCTACTTCTTTAAAAATTACATGTAAGGATACCTTATGGAACAGTTCTCGTTTGTAACACATTGCATTACCATGAATCAGAACTGATTAAATGGTAATGGTTTGTTTTTACTTTTGTTTTCTGTGGAATACCTGGGTGGTGCAAACTGTTAAGGTACAAACTACTATCCAAAGGATTGGAGGTTGATGTCTACCCACCACAGGCACCTCAGAATAAAGGTCTTGTGAATAAGCTGCTGAGAAAGCAGTTCTGTTCTGATAGATGTGGGTCATCAGGCATCAGAGTTAATAGTAATTTGTTCTAGCATGTAATGTATGTAATGCATATATATAGTATACATGTATATATACACATTACAGATGTAATGGAGGGTCTAATACAAAGAAATATTAACTTCTTAGAAATTCAAAGTTATGGAAGCAGGCTAAATAAAAAGATTTATTTTTTTATTATTAATTACTTTCCTTTTTTATCCTTTAATTATATAATTAAGTTGTATAAAGAATGTTAAGCTGTTTTTTAATGGTTTTTAACCTAATAAATGCAAGACAATCAGGTCAATTCCAACTAACAATAACCCTCAAGAACAGAGAAAAACTGCCCCCTAGGATTCCCAAACCCATAGTCTCCACAGAAGCAGATTGTCACATTTTTCTCTAGGAGAGAAACTGCTAGGATAGAACTTCCTATCTTCTTGCTAGCAGTCATACCCTTAATGAAAACGCTACTAGTTTATTCTGGCCCGTAAGACAAAATAGAACTGTCCTATGGAGTTTCCAAGGCTGTGATTTCACGCCCCCTTGTTTTTATAAATTGACTTCTAATTGTAATTTGAAAGTTTACAAAGCAAATTTGTTTTCCCTTCAATTCATATATCATATTGTGACATTTATTATAATCATCACAGTGTAATAAAACTTCCTCCCTGTGTTTCCTGTTTCCTTCTCTTTGATCCCTGCCTGATTTCTAAGCTATATCCCTAGAGAGATGCTGCCCTTTTTTCCTGTGTGGTTGACTGTTGTAGGAAGTTTATCATCATTAGAAATGTATATTTTATTCTGTCTCATCCCAGACATACTGACCCAGATCTGCAACCTAGCACGTTTCCAGGGCAAGAGTTTTCTCCCAAAGGGTTGAGGAGCTCTATGCTTAAGCTTCACCTCAACAACACTTGTCAGTCCCTCAAGCAAAGCGGGGCAGGGGCTGCAGAAGCTGAGCTTCTTCAGATTGAGGCCAAGCCCCCCGAGGAGCTACAGAGGTGCAATATAGAGTTGCTGGTGAAGCAGTGTCTGCTGAGAAGGACTAAAGAACAGTTCTTCATAAAGGCTGAGTCTAAGGTGACTTGAGGTTTGCTGTGAAAAATGAATTGGCATCAGGGGGTAGCTTGAGATCCACTACCACAACATTCTTTTTTTCAGAACTTTTTAGCATTTCTTTGCTATATTCTCTTGCAAATGGAAGAAATACCACTGCCCTGTACAGTGAGGATTTCAGGCGATGAGTCAAGCAAGATGCCAGCTTCAAACAGGTCTCAGCAATGCTCTCAAAGCTCAGAAGGGTTTTTGGATGACATACACAGGTACACATGAGGAAGTCTGATCCCTTCCAGCAGAATGAGGATGGTAAGAACTCTGGGTTCTCTTCAAATCTGTAATATCAAGAAATCTTCCATGAAAGAGCAGCTATTCAACACCTATGCCCCTTGGTTTTAGAGGAGAGTTATCTCCTGACTGTAAACACCTTGCCTTGTCTCTCTGCACTTGCTGTTATAACAGGTCCCACCAGAAGCTCTTTTAGCAGGTCAACATCTGAACCAGGCTTGAGTGCCTGTGGAGCAAAGCATTCTAAACACTACCGATGTGGCTTCAAAATGCTGGAGCAAAGCAGTTGGTAAACAAACCCATCTGACCACCATTTGTTGAACAGCTGTGCTAAGCCATATTCTGTGGCATGCAGATCTGATGCATGGATCCTGCCCTTAGTAATCATTCTTCTAAAGGGTGACAAATGGGCTCATAGGATTGATAACATGTGCAGTGATCCAGGGCAAGTAGAAGAGGGTTCCAAGCAGCGAGCAGGGGGTTGTTGATTGAAGTGAGGGATTGAGGGAGAGCTTTCAGAGTTGAGTTTAGGGAACAGCAAAGAGAAAGATAGCAAAGGGCATCAGGAAAGGCTAGGCTTTGAGGTGGAAGAAGCTGAGATCTCACACACACTTCACTGTTAAGCAGCTAAGTATAGGGATCTTTCCCATGGGCCCTCCATGGCCCCCCTAACCACACCCCCTGCTCTGAGCCCTAAATCCAGACAATTCTGGGAAACAATTTCATCTTTTCTCCATGAAGAAAGAGCAAGCCTTGAGTCAGGTCACCATCTGGGGTAGAACTATTCTAGTTGTAGAGCCTAGCTCCCCTCCCCCCTCCATCATTCTCAGGAACCACAGTGTCCTCTAATGTCTGAGGAATGCTAAGGAGGGATCCCATCATAGAGGACTGTAAGAAATTCTGGTGAGAGGCCAAGACCCTTATGCAAATCAAACTCATCTCAGTAGAGTAATAAATGACCCATAGGTGACCCTGCAGGGGGTTTCAGAGGCTATGACTCTCACAAGAGTTTGCCCATCTTTCTCCCACAGAGCTAGCTGCTGGTGGATTTGACCTTTTGGGTTAACAGCACATCTGCGAGCAGAGCTCTCTTGAGACTAGAGAAAAGTTGGCATGTTTACAGAGAAATCATGAGAATTGTAATCACTAAATAAGGAAGTGTGAGATAACGAGAAGCTGAAATCAGAACAAAAAAAGACCAAGGGAACAGGCAAAAGCCTGACAGATGAGCAGGGAAGAGATGGCTCTCAGTCCTGCCTTCCCATTAGGACATCTTGCATGGTGTCATCACATTGTGTGTCCTCAGTCCAGAAGGGACACTGGCCTGATTCCAAAGAAGAGGAAACTCAGCTTCAGGAAGGTAAGGAAACTTGTCAGAAAACCCAGTCTCAATAGGCAGAGCCAGGATTCAAACCTAGATTTATCTGACTGCTGATCCTCTTCTAGGAGGAGGCTCTCAGGAATCTCAGAAACCCTGGAAGGAAATAATGTGGACAAAAAGAGAAAATCAAGCAATGTCACTAGTGGTCATACTTTATGTTAGCAGAATCTGAGGGGGGAAACAGCATGGATGATTGAGAGGAAGAATCTTTGTCTTCTATGCAGGGAAACTGGGTTCGATTCCTGGCCAGTGCTCCTGAGAACAGCCACAATCTATTTGTCCGTGGAGGTTGTGTGTTATGACAATGCTGAGGAGGTTTCAGTGGAGCTTCCAGAATAAATAAGATGGAAAGGTAAAGCCTGGTTACCTGCTTCCAAAAAATATCAAATGATAACATCAATAAGAACTCCACAGATCACAGCAGAGATTAGGGGAATGACACAAGATTAACCAACAATTTGTTCTATTGCACATGGTTCACCTTGAGTTGGGGCAACTCCAGAGCCTCAACAAGTAAGGGGAAAATAACTTCTCAATCCTCATTCCTTTTTGCCCACCAATAACAAGTCATCATGCATCCCCCCAGCACCTATTTGTCATTCATTGGTGCTCAAAACCAGATCATCAAATGCTGCCCTTGAGGACGAAGAGGAGAATATCAGTTTTCTTACCTCGGGATTTCTTTTTGTTGAACACTGACTGCCAGATGATAATCAGAGTGAACAGTAGAACACTGAAAATCCCAACACAGCACACAAGGATGGCGTACATGTAGATATCTAAAAGGTAAGGGCAAGGCATCATCATTGGGGAGAATCCATCTCAGTCTCTGCACAGAATGTGGGAAAATAAGATGTTAGAAGTCCCGATCTACAGTGATCAAGACTAGGTAGTACTGACAGAAGGAACATAGCTAGAACAATGGAGCATAATGTAGAACCCCAAAACAGACCCATACCATATACCCAGTTGGTGCTGTATTGGTGATGGTGGTCTTTCCCCCTAATTAACAATGTATTGCAAGAAACACAGTTTTCCCATTACTGATTTTATCAATTGGTCATACAAAATAGCCTGAAATAGGTCATAAAAATGGGGGAGGATAATACAGAAATCTATCACTCACTCATCAATTTTGACCTGACTCATAAATAGAGGGCCCTCCAGCAGGTTTTCAGCAGCTTTAAATCACAAGAGGAGACCACACATCTCTTTCCTGTGGATCTAAATCACAATTTGAGTTTGGACTCAAATTGCCAGAGAGGCATAATCTGGGTTAGCAGTGCAACTCTGAAGACTATGTCACCAGAGTTCCATATACACCCATGTGTATCTTTTTGTTAAATGTTATAAAAGCCCAGAATGCATAAATGCTTTGTGCAAGATTATAATGTATATTCAAATTCAAATTTTTAATAAGCACATAAACACATACCGCTCCTCTGTACACAGAAGATGCATATAATCTTGAGGTAGAGAAGGTTATCTTTAAAACTGATAAATACAGGAAGGCTGAACATCAGTAATTTGAGATCCCCAAAACCTAATGTTGCTAAAAAGCCATAAAATTTGGTTAGAGTAATATATTTGCTTTAAAATTGCTTTTTTATCTGGTGTGAACAATAGTGTTTAAATATACAGTACAGGTTTCATCTGTGGAATCATAAAAAAAGAAATCATCACAGTTGGTTATTTGCTTTTTCCTTTTCTGACATTTCTTGTCGGAAAATTGTATCCTTTGGTGCTTGTCACATTTCCTCCAGTTTTCTAGGTCATATATTTTAAGAGTAAAAGTTTAGGCATACATAGAAGCATTGTGGTTGCCTCTACAAACAGATGTCCCCTTTTAAAGAACTCCTTGTAACATTGACTTCCCTTCCACCATTTAAATTTTTTAAATTGTGATTTGAGTAAAAGTTTACAAAGCAACTTATTTTTTCATTAAATAATACACGGACATTTTGTTTTATAATATTAATTAGAATACTCATACTGCATTCATATTTTCTCACTTCTTACCTATAATTCTCATTTCCACTAATCCTCTTATCTTGCTCCTTTCTGCCTTCTGAGCTTTATCTTTGGGAAAATGCTGCTCTTTTCACCTCTACTGGTTGGCTATTCTAAGGAGCTTATACCATGTCTTAATTGTTGGATACAGTAACGTTTTCCCTTAATGTTTTGCAGATCTTCCCCCTACAACTTCAGTCATCCAACCCAGTATTGCCATAATTACTGGTAGTTCTTGACACAAAGAGATCATCCCTTCCAAGAAGGCTCAGCTGTTACACAATTGATTTTTGACAAAAGTTTAAAAGTAATGGTGTCAAGATAGTCTTTTCAACAAGTGATTAGATATCCACATGCAAAACAAAACAGAACACATGAAAAGATACAAGACATTTAAATGGTCAACAAACATATTAAGAAATGTTCAAACTATTAGAGATGCAAATCAAAGATCTCTTCTTTGCTTAGCCACAATAGCAAAGTTCAAGAAGACAGTAAACATCAAATGCTGGCAAGGATACGGAGAGGCTGAAACTCTCAAATATGACTAGGGGGCATGCAAAATGCTATACCCACTAAACAAAGCAGCCTGATGTTTTCTCAGGAAGTTGGGAATAGAAATATCATTTGATCCAGCAATCTTATTACTTGATATATCCCCAAAAGCAGCCATATAAACAAATATATGCACTTTCATGCTCATTGCAGCATTAGCAAACTAATAAAGAGATAGGAATAACCTAAGTATCTATCAATGGAAAAATGTGTTTAAAACCCATAGAACAAACTGTGGTACATTTACACTATGGAACACTAAGCAGCACTCAGAAGCAATGATTTTGGAAATACTGCATAACTTGAAAGACTGGAGAGCATTATGCTGAGTGAACTAACTCAGTCTCATAAGGACAAACACTGCATAAGTCCATTATTATAAAAAAGACGGATAACTAATAAGACATGTATGGAGAACCAAAGGAGGAGGGTGTGGGGGTAGAGATATGAGGATGGATAAGGGTGAAATCACAGGGTTGCACAATTTGGTAGGTGGAGGGAAGGGGAAAGGAAATGAGAAATATCCATTGGAGGCTCAAAAGACAGGGTGATAATGGGCATAATCAAATTAGGATTAATTTTATAAAACATAATGCAGGGAGCACTGGTGGCCTAGTGGCAAGAAGCTGCACTGTAATCCCGAAGGCATGCAGTTCAAATCCTACCAGCAGCTCCACGAGAGAAGGATGGGAAATCTCCTCCCACGAGATTAACTGCCTCTGCAAACATGTCAGAGGATCAACTATGAGTCAGTACTGACTCGATGGTACACAACAATACACGGGAATGATTATATGAAACACAATGTGAATGAAGAATAGTGTGAAACACACCTATTTGTAAGCAAACCAATATAAAATAATTTTTTTTAGAAATCAACTATGGAACAGTCACATAATTAAGTAATATACAATATTAAAAACAAATAATTCACAACATAACATAGATGTTCCTAGAGGACATCGTAGTAAGAAAAAGAAATCATCCTAAAAAAGACTATCATGGCATGTTGTTTTTGTGAGGTGCCATCCAGATGACAATGACTTCTAGCAACCCTATGAACAACAATCAGAACCTTGTCCTATCCTGCACCATCCTGAGTCTCTCTGATTATGGTTATAGGTGCAGTCATCTTAAACAGCTATCCACATGGGAACCAGAAATCCCAGGACAGCAGTGGCAGCAGTAGCAGTATCCCTAACAGCTGAAAAAAAGCTGTGAAACTGAATTGAAATATGGAATAAGGAGAGCATGAGAATGCAGAACCATAAACTGAGTGGCAAGTCCATCTTGAACAACAATCCATGTGGTGTGAGAGACCAGGAAGACAGGGGCAGACACAGCACAAAAGGTGCTTTTAACTGAATACAGTAAATTTCTGTCCTTATTCAAGTCCACTCCCACCGTCCACTGCGTAAAACTGGATGAAATATGTTTACGGCATTGAAGTCTATGGGGGAGAGAATAGCCTAAAAGTATTATATTTTAGGGCATTATTTTTATCGTAGGAGTATGCAATGAGGGTTGCAGAGTGGATTATATTTGGGGGTAGGGGGTGGGGTTTGGGGAGGCGGGGGGGGGATTGTGTACCAATGAGGGAGTTTTTCTTTTGCTTTTCAAGGAGAGGAGCAAAGGGGTGGGGGAGGAGGGAGGGGGTTTGTGCGGGAAGAAGGGTGCAACAATGAGTGAATGGAATCCCAAAATCTCTGTAGATGTTCATTGAAATGAAAAATAAACAACCTAAATTAAAAAAAAAAATCTGTCCTTAAAGTTTTGCAGTTAAAAAAAAATGTATCCACACAGCTGAAAAGATCCAGTCTCCACTTTGTTCCCATGTCCACCTCCACCATTATTCAAAAGGGGGTGGGCACTGTTCTCCATCATCTGTCATTCCCCTACCCTCCTAATCTCCCATCATTTTACTTCCCTACCCTCCATCCCACCACCCACTCAAGACCCGAATCTATCTCAGGCCATCTCTACACTGTATTATTTCTAGAGTCCAAAGCTCTCAGAGTGTTCATCTCAGAACCTGTGGCTTGTCTCTCTCCTGGCCTGCAATAAGCCCCCAGATTAGAGGGGCCACCACATCTGGTTGAGAGGTACCCATCCACTGGATTGGTAATGATACAATCTTTGTTCAGGCTGAACAGACTAGGTTTCTCTGACACTAGCAGAAATTATTCCTCAGTCTGAGTGCCCTATCTCTTGACACATCCTTGAGAGAACTTTCTCATGGCACACACTTTTTTAAATGGTTCAAATTTCTCTGAAGAAATTGGCAAAAAAAGGCTCCAGAATTGATGGCATACCTATTGACATATTTCAACAAACAGAGACTGCCCTGGATGTACTCACTAAGTTGTGCCAAGAAATCTGGATGACAGCCAGCTGGCTGACTGACTGGAAAAGATCTATATTTGTTTCTATTCCAAAGAAAGGTGACCCAACAGAGTGTGGGAATTATCGAACAATATCATTCATATCACATGCAAGAAAGATTCTGCCGAAAATTATCCAAAAACGTCTGGAGCAATATGTCAATAGAGAACTGCAGGCTGGATTTCGAAGAGGTCATGGTACTAGGGATATTATAGCTGATGTTAGATGGATCTTGGCAGAAAGCAAAGAATACCAGAAGAACGTCTATCTGTGCTTCATTGACTATGCAAAGGTTTTTGACTGTGTGGATCACAACAAGCTGTGGCTGACTCTGAGAAGAATGGGAATGTGCTAATGTGAAACCTATACTTGGACCAAGAGGCAGTCATTAGAACAGAGCAAGGAGACACTGTTATGTTGTTGTTATGTGCCATTCAGTTGTTTGCAACTCATAGCGACCCTATGTACAACAGCCCTAAACCCTGCTCTGTCCTGTGCCAATCGCATTGCCTCTGACACACCCATCCCGAGTACCCCAGTCATTGAATTAATCCACCTCATAGAGGGTCTTCCCCTCCAAAGGAGACACTACATGGTTCAAAATCATGAAGGGGGTCCGTCAGGGATGTATTCTGTCTCCATACCTTTTCAATCTGTATGCAAAATAGATCATCGGAGACGCTGGGCTGTACTAGGAGGAATGTGGCATCAGGATTGGTGGAAGAGTCATCAACAACCTGCAATAACCTGTGTTATGCAGATGACACAATCCTGCTTGCCAAAATTCAGGAGGACCTGAAGCTCTTGCTGCATAAGGTCAAGGACTGCAGAC